AAACTTTTTTTTTTCTAGTGAGAAAAATCCGAAGAACCTATTTAGCCAAAAATTGAAGCTTCTTTTCAGAATTCTATTTTAGGTACTTCGCAAAGGTTCCGGCACATTATGTGAAGCACTTCTGATGGTTAAAGCATTCCATAACAATATCATTTTCCCGAATAAATCCTTGCCCTATGGCGCAAAATATGCCAGTGATGGACATGTGATTGAAAGTGAAACATATGTTGGAGGCTATGTTGAAGCTTTGGAATCTGGTGTTTTCCGTGCCGATATTCCAGAAAAGTTCGAATTATCTCATTATCAGGGGACCTAGTTTTCTTATTATTTAAATACATGTTTTACAGATTTCGAATCGTCCCGGCCGCAATCCTAGATTTAAAACGAAATGTTAGAAAAACACTAAGTGATTCACTAACTCATGAATTTGGTGTTAACATGGATGAAGTTGTTAATTTCGACAGTGTTGTAAGTAAGGTATACAAATTAATTTCCTTCAATATCAATTGGACATTTTTGAATTATATTGTCTGCATCAGGGAGGTTCGCTTTCACAGAAATGTATTGGACAGGCAGGATAGTACTTCCACAGGTCGTCTTATTTTGCACTATTTTGTTAACCAAGATTGTTTTTTAGACTTTTGTTTGAAGCATTCAAATTTTTTATTGTTAATTAATAATTGTGATTTAGAACAAGAAACGAATAGGTTTTTTCTTTTTTCACTCTTATATACTCGGTTTCAGATTGAAACACAGCTTGATGACTTCATTAAAAGACCTCTGCGCCTCGAAACTCCTAAGATTTACCATTTGGATGTGGGTGCAATGTATCCTAATATTATACTAACCAATCGTCTTCAGGTTTATTTCTCTATTTCATGCAATCTCTGCTATAATTGATTTCATTTTCTACTTTTTTCATTTTAACATCAGCGCAAAATTGTTCCACAGTAGCATTTGCAATGCTGTGGATGACAATGCCTTTCTGTAATTATTTGTTGACAAATTCTCTTTAAATTTGTACCGTAGTTTGATGATTGCTATATGCATACGAAGTTTCCACAAAATCTTAGATATTAGATTTTTCGTTTTCTTTTTTTTCTGTCCCTTAGATTTCTTTGTTAATATATTAATTCCTCAGAAATTGAAATTTATTGAAGTGATTCCAAATTTTTATGATTTTGTAGCCATCAGCAGTTGTTACAAATGAAGATTGCATTGCTTGTGTGTACAATTCACCGGATGCGAAGTGTCGGAGAACGATGCGATGGGAGTGGCGCGGTGAAATCAGTAAGTTCGTTATAGTGCAGCTATAGTTCGAACTTATTTGATTATTTTGTTTTGTTCCATAGTATGGCCAATGTTTCAGTGCCTGCTTCAAGAGGGGAATATGAGCGCATTCTGCAGCAACTGGAAAATGAAACATTTGGTAAACCACCAAGAGCATTTCATAGCTTAGATCATGATCAAAGGATTCAAATTGAAATAAAGCGAGTAAAAGGTAAGTTTTAGCTTTTTTCACTTGGAACTTTTTTCGGAAATTTGGAAGTGGAGATCTTGTTCGCTTCCTTTAAGTACCATAGATTTTTTATTCAGATTTTTGCAAGCGCGCATACGGTAAAACTCACATTACAAAGAATGAATATCGATATACGACAATTTGTCAACGAGAAAATGCATTTTATGTGGATACCGTTAAAGCTTTCCGCGATAGGCGATATGAATACAAAGCAATGCTTAAAGCAAGTGTAAATTTGGGTCTTGTTCATTTCATTCGCTTCAAATCTTCATATCGTTTATTAGCACAACTAAAATTTTTTTGATATTATTGTTTTATCGTTCTTTGAGTGTTTCCTATTCTCTGATCATGTCCAGGTATGAAACTCGTGCTCCATTTTGCACTCTTCTTGAAAAAATATGTTTCAGAAAGCTAAAGCTGTTCTAGATGAAGTATCGGATGATGATATTCATGCTTTGAAAACAGCCCAGGGACGTGTTGTCCTCTACGAAAGTTTGCAGCTTGCACATAAATGCATCTTAAACTCATTTTATGGATATGTCATGCGGAAAGGTTTCAGTTAAAAGTATTTGGAGAAAAGCAGCCCAAGAAATCATGAATATATCATTCATTTATTCAGGAGCACGATGGTTTTCAATGGAAATGGCTGGTATAGTTTGTCATACTGGTGCAAATATTATCACTGAAGCACGAAAGCTTGTGGAACGTATTGGTAAACCTTTGGAACTTGATACGGATGGAATATGGTGCCTGATTCCAGGGACTTTTCCGGAGAATATTACTTTCACTCTAAACAATTCTAAGCGTAAAACGGTACTGTTACTACAGATTTTTAAGAATTTACAAGATTTTACGACTTGAAAACTTTCTTCTTTTCTATTTACTTTAAATATGGATTAATTATAGGTAACTATTTCATATCCGGGTGCAATTCTCAATGCGCTCATCCATGATAAATTTACAAATAACCAATTTCACCAACTTGAATTGGATGGAACGTATTCTATAACTTCCGAAAATTCCATATTTTTCGAAGTTGATGGACCATACTTGGCGATGATTCTTCCAGCTTCTAGAGAGGAGGGTAAAAGGCTAAAGAAAAGGTCGGCTGAATTTTAAGGTTGTCTTCCCTCATTTAATTGAATGTAACTGAATGTTGTTCGAATTTCCAGATATGCAGTTTTCAATTTCGATGGTTCACTTGCTGAGCTAAAAGGATTTGAAGTAAAACGACGTGGCGAATTAGCACTGATCAAGTACTTCCAGAGTTCAGTTTTCAAAGCATTCCTAAAAGGCAAAAATCATCCAGAAGCATATGAGCATGCTGCAAAGGAAGCCAATTACTGGCTGGATGTACTGTTCTCGAAAGTAAATAGTTTAGTTTTTATGCATGAAGAATATTTAGTTTTTTTATGTAATATAGAAGTATCTTTATGTAATAAAGAATACCGCCACACTAATCTACAGATGAACTAATTGATCATCAGATTCTGATGAGCATCTTCATCAGATTCTGCATGAGGATGCTTTCTTAACCATTATAATTCATTTATTTATATTCTCTCTCTTCGTTGCTTGTTCAAAATACCATATTGATTCATAACCTATGTGTCAACTTTTTCAGTGTAATATTATTCATGCGGACCGCAAAAAGCTAATCTGAAATAATTTGTGGAAAAACTGTTTTTATTAATTCATAATTTGTAAGTCTCATTTGTCATGATCAAATTTTTTTCAAAATTTTCAGGGTGCTACCATACCAGATTACGAATTATTTGATTTAATTGCCGAAAATCGGAGTATGTCAAAAAAGCTTGATGATTATGGTGAACAAAAATCAACGTCTATTTCAACCGCGAAACGCCTTGCAGAAGTACGCTGTTGCTCCCCAGTTTTCATTAATGTTTACTCGAAATAAAAAGGAAAATGAAAGATCCTTATTTTTAGCTAGTATTGGATTCTTTTTTCGATCCCACGAAACTTCACCCTCACTCTATTGGGGACAAAAGAGAAATAAAAAGAATTCCATTAACCGTATTGTTGTAAAAAACAAGAAATTTTTAGTTTCTTGGTGATGATATGGTTAAAGATGTTGGACTTGCTTGCCGTTTTATTATTTCGAAGATGCCACTTGATGCACCTGTCGCACAAAGAGCTATTCCCTTGGCTATATTCCAAGCAGCACCAAATGTCTCTGCTCATTATCTTCGAAAATGGACTAAAGATACAACAATTACTAAAGATAATATCAATATCCGAAATGTTGGTGTTGATTTATATTCTAAGCTTAGAGGAGCCATTAATTAGGCCTCTTTATTATCTTTATTATTACTATAAGTAATTATTTTGAGAAACTTGCAAATTCGAGAACTTGTTCAAAAAGCTGTCCGAGTTAGTCCTGAACTGCTATTTCAAACAGGAATGAATCTTAGAGTGCAGTGGAGTCGTTGGCAGATTTAAAATACTGATAGTGAACTTCATAACTTGCAGATTATCGACTGGGAATATTATATTGAGCGCTTTGGAGCTACCATTCAGAAAATTATCTCAATCCCGGCTGCTCTACAGAATGTACCTAATCCAGTCCCACGCGTTCCGTTTCCGGACTGGTTGGAGAACAAGCGACAACAGCGAAAAAATGATCACAAACAGCCGAAAATCAATGAAATTTTCAAAAAGGCCACTACCTTGGCTTTTACACCTGATATTGAGAATATTAACAGTTCAAGAGCTGCGAGTAATAGCTCGTTGAATAATGTTACTCTTCTCAGTAACTCCCCAAATTCAGAGAAGGTGAAGTGGTTTAATCTTCAAATCAAAAGAGAATTCATTAGTAATAAACTAACTTAATTAGTTGCAGGACTCTTCCACAACAACGACGTGTGTCTTTTTGAATGTTGCTGCGAAGCAATCACAGAGTTCATCATTAACCAAAATAACCGATCGATGGGAGGTAATACAAAAAAAACAATTGTTGAACACGGAATCGATGAATGGTTACGGTACTGTACTTTTTTTTTATGGTTTGGTTATATAAGCTTAACCAGTTTCTTTCTTGATTTATGGTAAAAGCAATAAAATTACAGCGATTTCTCCGAATCTTGATGATGAAAACAGTAAAGGATGTAATTGGATTTCAGTCGTCAAACTTTGTAACTAAGAGAACGTTGGTATGGAGAAGGAGGATATTAGTTTAGCCTTAATATTTACATAATGACCTTTAGAATTTTGAAAATTTGTAGATATTTGAAAGCGAAGTGGCAAAAAGAAAGGGCAGAAAAAAACCGCAGAAAACAAAATGCTTTGTCTAAAGGAATTACACCAATTATGTCAATGCTTGAACGTGGTAAACAGATGATGCGAGATACTGCGTGGCAAATTGTTAAGGTTAAATATTATAACTGTTTAAGAGCAAGAAGTTGTAAAAACAAATTCCATTTGTGCATGAAGGAGCGTACATTCAGAGTGGTTGTGCGGATTTTAAGGTCTTTATGATTATGCAAGAAAGATTATCTGTTAATATGGAGTGAAAACAAAGAGCTTCCCTCTTTCTTAAAATGTATATCATAAAGTGCAGAGATAAAGAAGCGGGATTTGAAATTACTTAGTATCGCTGTTCATAAAACATTAACTAGTAAAACTGATGGAATGCTCAAAGACAAATTACGGCAAACGTATTGATGCACATGTGGTTGCAGATATCAGAAACTCCAAGCAAAGGTATGTTAGCATTATGGTGTATAATTCTTGATAAAATGATGAAAATCAATTTACGAATGCCGCGGATCATTTATGTGAATAATCGTGAAGAAAATGGGAATTCCGGCATACTAGTGAAACGCATTCTTCCACGCTTAAAGCCAGTTTTTAATTTACGGCAATATGTTATCGATGAAAGGATATTTGAATCGAGTTTAAAGTAATGTATACTATTTTCAATATAATTTTTCGAAACCACCCGTTTGAATTTTAAAATACTCAATGAGAGTTTAACTTAGGCATATGGAAATTGAAGAAGAAAAACTGAATAACTGAGTTTTCACTCGGTTTTTTTTTTTACTTTTCGTTTTGGAACATGCTATCAAAGATATTGGAAGTAACAATGTTTGCAGTCAGTTGAACAAAGAATTGTGTGCGATGAGAATTGAAGGTGTTTATGAGTCACAGGTACCACTTCTCTTCCGTGCCTTGCTTACCTTTGGCTGTAGCTGTCGATTAAAACCGAATTTGCAAACAAATTCGACTGCCACATATGATTTCGAACAGCTTGAACCGGTTGGCACTTGTAATTGAACTTTTTAAATCCCGAAACCAGAAATTTAGTTTGAATCATCGATTTAGCAAAATCTCTCATGGAATTGAATCTGTTTGGTTTCTTAACAGTATTTTTTTTACATGCGAAATCTATATTGTTAAAATTTAGGATTTCTCGGTGCAATATCTTCCGGAAAACAGTGTTCGCACTTTGTTCTTTTATGAACATCAACAGGACAATCGATGTGTTATAGCAGTGTTCAATACAGCCACGAGCGAAGCGCACATCGTTGTGGTGAACAAAACTGAATTAAATTTACCGAATTTATCAAATATGTATGCCAGTGAAAAAGCAAATTTGTGAGTACTTTGATGAGCTATACATTGATATCTTTTGCTCTAATATAAAGGTGGTTATATACTCCATAGTTAGCTGTTATTTGACTTGAACTAATCTATTCAGAATGAATTGGCTCACTGCATACTGTTCTATTTTTAAAGAGAACTGAAAATTTTTGAGCAATCACTGAAACAATGAAATTAATATTAGTAATGAAATAAATATGCTATTTATTCTTAATTTGCTAATCATTTACTTTCCTGTTATTGAATAGTTCATCGGGACTTTGGGTGGGCAGTTTATTTTTTGTAAAAAACTTTTTAAAACGTCACATTTTAGGTCGGCTGATGTTATTGTTTCTTTTTTGAGCCGCAAGGCTGATATGAATTTTACTGTAAGTCAGTGCTCTGCTGTCCAAAGGGCTGACCGAATAATTCAGCGAGTAAGTTTACCTTTACTTTCACATATTTAGTAAACATATGCCTCGAAATGTAAAACAAAGAAATATATGTTTAAGTTGATCCCTATTAAGAGTTTTGTATGGAGCATTATTGCGTAGACACGCACTATTATTAACATAAGCATATATATTTTAAATATATATTTTAAATATATGCTTCTCTAAATTTTCTCTAAATTTTTATTAAGATAAGAATTTAACTGCAATAAATTATCATATTTTAAGAAATTCAATTATTTTTGTAACATTAAAAAAATCGAAAATTACAAAGTGTGGGATTCTCTCTGGCCTGTTATCATTTCCATTTAATTTACAATTTTTTCACTGATAATAACATATAACAGGACGAATGAAGAAGGCAGCACTGGCGAAAATTACTAACCGGAAAAATACCTTATAGACTCTTAAGTTCATGAGATGAATTTGAATGGCGAAGTGTCAAGTCGTGGTTTATTACATTAGTGAGTTGTAAGGTGACCTTTTTGTGAGTTGCTGATTGGGATTGTAAAAAACGTTGTACAAATAAATGAAATTGCAGTATATTCGAAGTTTACTTCATGTTGATAGTTACCCGACAGTGATTGCTGTGCAATCGAGGCAGCAGTTGTCAGCATTAGTCAAGCGATTACCAGCGCTCGATAGCTATCCTCTTGTGCGAATTCATGCTTCCGAGCCATCCGGTCTTTTCAACGTTTTGGATTGGCAACGTATTGTCCTGAGAAGAATCATCAAGCATTATTTCAATATGTTTTTATATTTGCATGTGAGGACTAAACTTCAATTTGGAAAACACTATTAACACAATGTTTCTTAAAACTGCAGTAGTCTTGGTTTTTTTTTTTTTTTTTTTTTTTTCAAGCATCGTCCTGCTAGAATCCATTAAATTTAAGTTTATTGTCCTACCATTGACACGGAAATCTGAGCGCAATTGCAATGTAACAGTGCTTTGTTATACTAACAAAATTAGTATTTTCGAAAGGAAAAGGAATGGTACCCTCTCCTGAAATTTTCGTATTGTAGATGTTTGCTTCTAGTTATAAAATTGAATTACTGTAAAGTCTTTAAATTCGGTATGCATCCATTGTTTCAGCAATATGTAGAAGTGAGCCGTTATTTGCATATTCCAATCGGTAATATACCGGAAGATTTCTCAACATTTGGTCCAGATGTATTGTTTGCACGAAGTTTGATTAATCAAGGATACGTTTTGTGGGCATCACCACTTAGCCGACCGGATCTTGGCGGTAAAGAACTGGATGATACTCGTCTAAATGCTGTTTGGTCATCACTTTCCATTAATAAGCAATCAGTTTGTGTGGTCAACGAATCCAGGTGGATAGTTTCTTATTTAAAAAATTGGAGATTAAGTATGTGTTTTGTTATTTGGATATTTCTGAAACGATTTTTCATGATAAATGCTTATTGATGGGACTAGACAAGTAATTCTAAATGAGTAATCATAACAAATAAATAATTAATTAATGATGTCAGGGGGTACTAAAATGAGAAGATAAATGGTCTTGGTAAATGTGGCGTCCTAATTTCTATTTTTGTTGTGTCGAAAATTTTTTAGCTTTATATTTTCTTCTTTAAGCTTCGAAACCGATGTATGTATTGAGCTAGAATTGGGCGCAGTTGATGTTACAGCAATTGTGCAATCAGCAAGTATCGCTGATGCGGAAGGTGGTGCAGATTCAGTCGGGTTTTTGACTGGATCTGTTTTGTCGGCAGATGCGCTCCTTGGATATGTCCGAAGTATTGCCCAGTATGATGAAGGAGCAGCTGTAGCAGGTCCATTAAAAGTGTGTTTTTTTAATATGATATGAAAGGGCAAAGCAGAAATTAATTTCATTGTATAAAATAAGATGGAATTTTAGATACCAGTAATCTTGGTTTACAAGACTATGATATGGTAGATTAACCGCTGATAGATTAAAATAACTGAGTGCTTAAGTGGATGATATTTGGATTTCTCTCGAAAAGGGACTGCCTTGTCATACCTGCGCAGGTGCAGATCATGTATGCTGCATTGAAATAGCAGTCAGTTTTGTTATTTCTATTCTGTTGAATGGTTTGCAATTCAATAATTTAAATTACATTCAGGTCCTCCGGCTGCTATTGCATGACTGCATTAAGGATATTCACTTGTATGGTAGTAAAATTGCGGATCAAGTAATTATTAGCCTTGATCGGTTGGTGAAATCTCTGTTTCTTTTTGATGAAAGAGTAATACCACGTTGATTTTTATGGGTTAGCTAAATCTCATAGAAAATAAAGCGGCATTAATTTTTTTTCGGGAAAATTTCTGTTTATGCTGGTCTCATCTTAATGGTCCTGGAAGTCCTTCCAAGAAGCAGATTCTGAATGAAATTACCTTTCTTTTTGTAGCTGGTTACGCACACAGCATTCATTGATGTATGATCCTGCAATTGTTCGCGTAGTCGATATACTAATCACTAAGCTAATCCTCTTGCTGGTTGCTGAAGTAAGTTCAGATTTCTTCGGTTCTGGATAAGGCTTGGAAACTTTTAGTCCAGTTTTCTTTCCAAAACGATTCACAGAAATGGACCTTAACTGAAATTTCTTTTTTAACTTAATATCTTCAGTCGACTTGTTGAAATTTAGTTGAGTTAGAATCACGCAGGAAGCAAACCAAAGTTACTAGTAGATTGCGCAAAATTTATTCCCTAATATTGGCGCTACTTCACTGGAATATGCCTTATTCTTATTTCCCGGAAATTGGTAATAATCGTGATATTAGTCATCAAAGCATTTTATTCGAGTTTTATTGATTTAGTCTCTTGCTGAAGAAATATGTTTTATGTTGTTTAGTCTTGGAAAGCCAACAGCGGTGGTTTTTCGAGTTTATTGAGACTTAGGATACATATCTTATTGTGATTCGTCTTAGGCGAAGTATCCGACAGGATATTTCAGTTGAATTTTCTGGTTGGGTTTCTTCAGTTGAATTTTTTAACATGCATAGCGATACTGTTTGCGAGAAAGCATTTCTATATTTTAGCTAAATCGTTTGGGTGGACGTGTTATTTATGCATCTAGTTCACAACTTATTATGTGCACGCAACGTTCGACTCTTGAACATGCGCAGTCGTTTGTGAATAGTTTGCTCCTATCACTTGAAAACCACGCAATTTTTGCATCACTAAATGTTAAAGCAGTTAAATTTTGGGATATTCTGTTATGGGTTGATGCGGTAAATTTCTTTTAATTTTCTGAATTTTACTTAATTTTAATGAATAAGGTTGTGCAGCAATTTTTCTTGCGGATCTTTCTTTTTAAGGTTCGGTTGGCATATTTGTGAGTTTTGTTGTGCTTTTCACTTTCAATTTTTTCAAAAACGAGTACTCCATCTCGTAAGTCCTTGGAATCAATGTTTCCCGAATGAGCGAGTCATGAGAGACAGTGCGCTTCTGTTGCACACTAAGACGAACAGATTTTGATTTTCAGAAGACTTAGGAAGTGTTTTAGAAATGATTTATTCAAATTGTGACTTACTTCATAAACTTTTTAACTTCAATTTCTTATTTTTAGTGGGATTATTTCTCGATTGGTTTTACAGAATGATTATATCGGAATTCTTTTGGGTGATGAAGAAGAAAGCAACGAAGTCACTATCAAACTTGGTACCTCTAATTTTATTAAAGGAGAAAATTATCGGAATTTGCTCAAACAGACATTGATCGGATACCTTGTTTTAGTAGCTCGGAATGTAAGATCAACTGTAAGTTCATACTGATTACAGCAATTAATATTCTTAAAGCGATGGATTTGTTCAGAATACGAAAATCCAGAGTGCTCAACTTTGTTCAGTACCCAATTTTATAAGTTTGGCGAATTTTCCTTACCAGTTGATATCTTCTAAGTTCAAGGTTTTGGATTCAAAAATTAATTGTTGGTTTTAAAATTTTCCGTATTCAGAATGATGTGAAGGAACAGCAACAGTATCGCTTAAATCTTGTAAGGAATGAAGTTACGGAACAAATGTTTGATTTTCTTAACAATTTATCATCAAGTGTTGATATCCGGGAGAACACTGATTTGCGGGATTCAATTATTTTAATAGTGAAAGGAATATCGCATTTCATTGGACTAGACTGTACTGTCTACGAATCGGTTGCAAAGGTACTGTCGGATGTAGAATTCGTTTTAAGAATGAGATTGCCGAATTGTTGTTCTTAATTTTTTTGTATCCACTTTCTGGAATTTATTGATTAGACTTGTTGAGTTTGACAGACAGGTATATCCAAGTTATGGCTGTGCAGCAGTTATACACTAAAGTCTCTCCATCTCATTCAGTTTTCCGGTACCACGATATTATAATTTCTTCTCTTTACTCCAATTTTCTCCAATTTCACGTACTACTGGTTACTTATTGCTTTTTTGTAGTTCCTTATACTAAGACATTCAGCTGCGCTATCAACTTCTGCGTATGTTGGATGTGGATGATTCATCACATGACGATACATGGCAATCGTTAAACGTTTCCTGCACTTTGACTCAACTGTTTTGTTCTGTATGCTGCCAATCAAATGATTTGGATGTATGTCAATCAGAAGCATGGATTTGTCCAAGCTGTGGAAAACAGTTCCATTCGTCTACCATTGAACAGCTCCTAATTGAACGAGTGAATCAGCTTCTGATAGCTTATACAATACAAGATTTCAAGTGTACGCGTTGCGAAGCGGTAAGCCTTCATACGTTATATC